TCAGTATAAGGCAGCTTCATGTGTGTACTTCTTTTCAAGGGTAAAGCAAAGCTGCGATCACACACGTGACACAATCCACTTTCAATGCCCTTTCCAGCTGGATTTTATTTTGTGAACCGGCAGGATCGGGTTGGAAAGCGCATTGAAAGTGGATTGAAAGTAGATTATTTAGAGTGTGTGATCACAGCAGAATACACGGCTTAGGTTGGCTGCAGCTGCCCGGTTAATGTGGCTGTCCTGCATATTATGTGTGTTTTACTGTGGAATTCACCAGCGTGGCACCAGTGTAACCATGGCAGATGAGACTGTCATATATACTGTCAGGTGGCTCTCAGACACTTTAATAAACAAGTGGCTGTCAATGCAAAGGGTGGCTGCATGTCTTCTTCCCATTGCCCCCCTCCGTGGTGCATATCTTATAGATCTCTGTGCCTATGAGAGGAGCTGTGGCTCTGTGGTAGAGCACCTGTTTCACATGTAGAAGGTCCCAAGTTCAATCCCTGGCAGCTCCATTAAAAAAATTTGGGGAGAGCTGCCCAGAGTAGACAGCACTGACTATGATAGAACAGTGGTCTAACTCTTTATAAGGCTCCTGCATGCATTGGTGTAGATATGCCAGTTTCCTTTAAAATAAAATGTAAGACAGCTAACAACAAAATAAAAACAAACACAACAATAAAAACAGTAAAACAGCAGTAGCTGAAATAAAACATATAATAAAGCCATTAATAAAACAGAAAATGCCCTGGTCTGTAGTCTGAGAGCCAGTTTGGTGTACTGGTTAGGAGCATGGACTGTAGTCTGGGAGAACCTGGTTTGATTCCCAACTCTTCCACTTGCAGCTGCTGGTGTGACCTTGGATCAGTCACAAGTTCTTTCAGAGCTGTCCTCTCAAGGGCAATTCTCAAGAGAGCTCTCTGAGCCCCACCTACCTCATCGGGTGTCTGTTGGGGGGAGGGGAAGGGAAAGGGATCATAAGCCGCTCTGAGACTCCTTCAGGTAGGGAGGTAAAGGTTTCCCTTGCTTGAAAGCCGGTTGAATCCGACTCTAGGGTTGTGGTGCTCATCTCCGTTTCCAAGCCAAAGAGCCTGCGCTGTCCAAAGACATTTCCGTGGTCATGTGGTCGGCATGACTAGATGCTGAGGCGCACGGAACGCTGTTACCTTCCCACCGAAGCGGTACCTATTTATCTACTTGCAATTTCTTTCTTTCGAACTGCTAGGTTGGCAGGAGCTGGACCCAGAGACAGGAGCTCACTCCATCATGTGGCACTCGGGTCTCGAACTGCCAAGCAACCGACCTTCCGGTCTGCAGCTCAGCGTCTTAACGACTTGAGCCACTGCAGCCCCTTGGGTAATGAAGGGTGGGGTATAAATCCAATCTCCTCCTCCTCCTCCTCCTCTTCCTATTCTTCTTCTTCTCCACCTCGACTCTCTCATTGATGGAGCACAGACCAGCGCATCAGATTATGACCTGTGCTGCTATCACAGTGACCCAAGAGAGAGAGATGTCTCAACTAGATGCACAGCTGCCATTTTTGGCAGCAGATGTGTGTTACGATATCAAGTTCTTTCATTCCCCCCCCTCTCGCTAGCAACAGTTCATGTGCCCTTTCCTTTCTCTGCTTTGAACTTGGATATCAGCATGGGCTGCCCTGTTGATGCACCCTTTCCTCCCCCCCCCCTTATTACCAGCAAGGACTAATCAACAAGCATAGAAGCATCATAAAACAGTTCTGGTAAAAGCAGGGGGCGGGGGAAACCACAACAAAAGTGCGAGCCACACCAAAGCCAAGAAGTGCCGCATGGGAGCAAAGCTTCCACTGGCATGTTACCAGCGTCTTACCCAATGGCCACATCAGCTTTCGACTTTCCTTTGGAACCCATAAAGCCCAAGTACGAACTCAACGCTGAATCAGCTTTTCCTCTTTCCTCACTCTCCCCGCTGCTTTCCCCTTCGTCTTCTAAGGGTTCCTCCCAACATATTACATTTCCCTATTTGTGGTTTGAAAAGAGATTTTTTTTAAAAGGAAGAAAATGATTGCAGATCTCCAAGTACCCCTTCTTCCTGAGCCTAGACAGATTCCTGGAGGAGAGGTTTATCAGTGGCTATTAGCCACAGGGTGACTCAAGGGAGCCTCCTTGTTCAGAAGCAGTCAGCCTCTGAATCCCAGAGCCAGGAGGCAACATCAGGGGAAGGCCTCGACTTCCATGCCCTGTTTTTGGCAATCCAAAGGAACTGGTTGGCCACTGTGTGCGACAGGATGCTGGTCTAGATGGACCACTGGTCTGATCCAGCAGAGATCTTCTTATGTTCTCATGAAGGCCTCGTCCTCCATGCACTGTTGTTGGCGATCCAGAGGAACTGGTTGGCCACCGTGTGAGACAGGATGCTGGTCTAGATGGACCACTGGTCTGATCCAGCAGAGATCTTCTTATGTTCTCATGAAGGCCTCAGCCTCTATGCCCTGTTGTTGGCGATCCAGAGGAACTGTTTGGCTTCTGTGTAAGACAGGATGCTGGTCTAGATGGACCACTGGTCTGATCCAGCAGAGATCTTCTTATGTTCTCATGAAGGCCTCAGCCTCTATGCCCTGTTGTTGGCGATCCAGAGGAACTGTTTGGCTTCTGTGTAAGACAGGATGCTGGTCTAGATGGACCACTGGTCTGATCCAGCAGGGCCCTTCTTATGTATCCTTCAGAATATCTCCGTGATGCCACTTTGCTCTCTGGCTCTTCCCCAGATTCTTCCACAAGGACCTATCCCTGCAAGTGAATGGCTTTGGCTTGACCTCCCCCCCCCCCTTCTCCCTACCAAACTGAAGGACCTATCCCTGCAAGTGAATGGCTTTGGCTTGACCTCCCCCTCCCCCTTCTCCCTACCAAACTGAAGCTTGTAACTGCAAGCAGTTCCTCCCTGCTGTCATTTCCTACCCATTCCTCCTACTGTTGATTTTGTTTACTCACACCATTTTTATCCCACCTTTCAGTCTGAAGAATTCCCATGGAAATTCATAAACACATCAAAACCATACATCACCACCAGTAAACAAAGAAATAAAACAGAAATAGAAGTTAGCTGTTGTAGCCTTCAACAACATATAGAAATAGAAGTATTACGAGCAAAAATCATCATGCATTAGAACAAGCATGGTGCCCTCAACTCAATAGACTAGGTGCCAGGTGAGCATCTCTGGGGACAGTATAACCAGAGACCAGTCCCCAGAGACCATGTTCCTGCCTGCCAAAAGGTAGAATCATAGAATCACAGAACTGGAAGGGGCCATACAGGTCATCATCTAGTCCAACCCCCTGCTCGGTACAGGATCAGCCTAGAGCATCCCTGGCAAGTGTTTGTCCAGCCACTGCTTGAAGACTGCCAGGGAGGGGGAGCTCACCACCTCCCGGGGCAGCTGATTCCACTGTTGCACAACTCTGACTGTCAAAAAAGTTTTCCTAATATCCTGCCGGTACCTTCCCGCCCTTAATTTAAACCCACATCCTCTGCTGCCAACAGGAACAGCTCCCTGCCCTCCTCTAAGTGACAGCCCTTCAACTGCTTCAAGAGAGTAATCATGTCCCCCCCTCAACCCCCTCTTCTCCAGACTGAACCTTCCCCAGTCCCTCAGCTTTTCCTCACAGGGCTTGGTCTCCAGGCCCACGATCATCCGTGTCACTCTCCTCAGCACCCGCTCCATTCCGTCCACATCCTTTTTGAAGTGAGGCCTTCAGAACTGCACGCAATACTCCAGGTGTGGCCTGAGCAATGCAGTGTACAGTGGAACTATGACATCTTGCGATTTGGGTGTTATGCCTCTGTTGATACACCCCAAGGTTGCATTAGCCTTTTTTGTTGCCGCTGGTGATGGCAACAGGAGCAGGGCCTCAGAAGATGACGTCAAAGAGGAGTCAGGGTCACATGGGAGTGTGCGGACCTTCAGGTTGGCCTCTGAAGATGACACCAGAGAGCAGTCAGGGTCATATACAAGTGTGCAGATCTTCATATTCTCTGCTTCCAAGCCATTTAGATACTCATTGGCCAAAACCGTGACTTTGAAATTGTGGCAGTAAACCGACTGGAAGCCAATGAGAATCTTTTAATTTTGGAGTAATAGGAGGTAATTGGATGAAGGGAGCATTGGCTCTTATAAGCGTATATCCTCAAAATCTTGTTGGTCCCTAAGATGCCACTGGACTCACATCTAGACGTTCAGACCCGCCAGTCCCAGTCAGCAGTGGCCAGTACATTCTGACCCATGAGGTTTCTGAGAGGTCTTCAAAGGCAGCCCTGCCTACGAAACATTACAGTAATCTATCCTGGGTTTTACCAGGGCATAGATAGCTGTGGAGAGGCAGTCTTTGTCTGTTGTCGTTTCCCTTCATTGTTGAAATCTAAACTGTATGCTCCCTAGATGCGAGGACCTGTCATTTTCGCTTCTCTGTAAAAAGACATGGTATTTGAGGGTGCCGTACAAATAAGCATCGTTTTGTCACTTCGGAACATGAATACCTGCTGCGTGAATGACAGCAAAGACATCTTACTGCCAGGGCTATTTTTGGGCAGGAACGCACAGGAACGGAGTTCCGGCTGGCTCCTGAGTTGGCCACGCCCAGCAGGAACTCATTAGCATAATAGGCCACACCCAACAGCAGAAACTCATTAGGATTGGCTACATTAGGGGTGTGTGGCCTAACATGCAAAGGCGTTCCTGCTACAAAAAAAGCCCTGAGTTTTGACAACAAACAAGGTAAACAGAATAAGAAGCAAAAGGTGGGTGTGGCTGGATGAGCACACTTCTGGTAACACGGGTGTGGCCCCATATGCTAATGATCTGTGCTGTCAGGGGTGTGGCCTAATAAGATAATACGTTTCTGCTGTTGGGTGTGGCCAGTTATGCTAATGAGTTCCTGCTGGGCTTTTTCTACAAAAAAAGCCCTGCTTACTGCAATGCTCCAAATAAAGGGCTTGGCTTTTAATGTATCTAAAAATGTGTTTTGCAGATTAGCTTATCAAAGAAACGACGACGATGACGAAGAAGCGGCCCGAGAGCGCCGCAGGCGGGCCAGACAGGAAAGGCTGCGGCAAAGGGAAGAAGATGACGTGTCCGGGACAGAGAAGCCCGAAGTCAATGATCAAAACAAGTAAGGTCCCGCTGCAGGGAGAAAAGCCTGTCGGCACCTTTAGAGTTCTGAGACAGGGTGACGGGTGCCAGCACAAAATGGCTGCTGCAGGAGGCGGAGTTACACACCACTACCCCGAGGATGTCTAAGTTTAAGGGAAGAGTGGGTTAATTTTAAAAAAACGCCCTGGGGAAAAAGGAAGGATAAAAAATAAAACCAACTGGCCTGTTGTCTCACAAACAACACAGCATCTTGCTGATATCTGTTGGTCTTTAATTAATTTATTATTTATTTGTTAGTTCAATTTCTACCCCGCCCTCCCCGCCGAATCAGGCTCAGGAAGGCCTACGTAAAAGATTCAACACATAAATAACAATTAAAAACCAATCATAAAACAATCATAAAACATTCCAATTATAATTATCATAAAGTGCTAGAACAGCGGTCTGATACAGTGCTAGAATAGTAGGTCTAATACTAATAGCCAGGGCTTTTTTTGTAGAAAAAGCCCAGCAGGAACTCATTAGCATAATAGGCCACACCCAACAGCAGAAACCCATTAGCATATTAGGACACACCCCTGACAGCACAGCTCATTAGCATATTAGCCCACACCCCACATGTTGCCAGAAGTGTGGTCATCCAACCACACCCACCTTTTGCTTCTTATTCTGTTTACTTTGTTGTCAAAACCCAGGGCCTTTTTTTGTAGCAGGAACTTCTTTGCATGTTAGGCCACACACCCCTAATGTAGCCAATCCTAATGAGTGTCTGCTGTTAGGTGTGGCCTATTATGCTAATGAGTTCCTGCTGGGCGTGGCCAACTCAGGAGCCAGCCGGAACTCAGTTCCCATGCGTTCCTGCCCAAAAATAGCCCTGCTAATAGCATTGCTTAAGGTGGCAGTAACAGTCATGATGGTATGTTCAGGCCAGCTCATCTTGATCAGTTTATTTATGCGGCGGGCACAGGTTGTTGATGGGAAAACCAAGACGCAGGGCTCACTTTTCAGGTGTTTGATGCGGCTCCTTGACTGAAATCCTGGTGGACGAGCTCCGTCTTGCAGGCCCTGCGGAACTGTAGACGGTCCCACAGGGCTCTGATCTTTTCTGGGAGCTCATTCCACCAGCACGGAGCTGCCCCTGAAAAGGCCCTGGCCCTGGTTATAGCCAGCCTGGTGTCTTTGGGGCCTGGGAGGGCCAGTCGATTTTGGGACCCTGAACGCAGTGCTCTCTGGGAAACATGTGGGGAAAGCCGGTCCCTTAGGTATGCCGGACCCTGACCATAAAGGGCTTTAAAGGTAAGAACCAGCACCTTGAAGCCAATTCGGTATGCTATCAGCAGCCAGTGCAGTGCTTTCAGCACAGGCTGGATGTGCTCCCACCTAGGGAGGCCCATCAGCAGCCCGGCCTCAGCCATTTTGCACTAGCTGTAGCTTTCGGATTTGGGACAAGGGCAGCCCCATGTGACAGAGGGCTCCGCTATTTGGGGAGCTCTTAAATATGTGGACTCTCCGACAGTCTGTGGGCAGATGGCGCCACACAGTTTGGGATGGAACTGCTGGGATAGGACTGGCAACATTTTCCCCTCCCAGAGCTGCTCCTCTGCTTCCAGGGCTTGTTTGGGAACTTGGTGTTTGGAGAGGTGGGGACCGAAAGAACAGAGGCGGCCCCTTTGCAGGTCACCTGCCTGCCGATAGAGAGTCGTACAAAAATGGAGGTCACAGCTCCAAGTAAACGAATGCCAGAAGTCCAAAGAAGCTGTCACAAACAAGCAGTACAATGGATATATATTGACAAAGTTTGTAGTATAGCAGGTAAGTATTTATCAAGAAGTCATAAGAAGACGTAGAAGAGTTGACGAAATTCCCCAGAGTATACTTCTGTTTTGTAATTCTTTCAAACATCATCAGGTAAACAATAATTGTGTCTTCCGTTAATTCATCATAGATTGCAGTCATTCATAAAGGTAATCACAGAGGTCCTATTCCATTATACATAGTAACTTTACTACCTTCACCAGTATGCTCGCGTCTGAAAGTAACTATGTATAATGGAATGGGACTTCTGTGATTACCTTTATGAATGACTGCAATCTATGATGAATTAATGGAAGACACACTTATTGTTTACCTGATGATGTTCGGATGAAGTAATTATGAAACTGAAGTGTATTCCGGGGAATTTCGTCAACTCTTCTACGTCTTCTTATGACTTCTTGATAAATACTTACCTGCTATACTACAAACTGTGTCGATATATATGCATTGTAGCACTTGTTTGTGACAGCTTCTTTGAACTTTTGGCATTAGTTTGCTTATAGAGTGTCCCCAGGTAGCCTCCTGGTTCAGGAAGTGTCTGATATTTTCATTTGACTTCTGATTGTTCCTTGTTGAAATGCACGGTGTACTGCAATTTTCACGTCTTTTATAGCATTGGAGACGAAGAGAGCCAAGGTTCCACCAAAACCGTTACCACCGTTACGAACACTCAAGGGGATGGGGAAGGTGACGAGGCTGTGTTCTTGGAGAGGATGGCCAGGAGAGAAGAACGGCGCCAGAAACGTCTCCAAGAGGCCTTGGAACGCCAGAAGGAATTTGACCCGACAGTCACTGACGAGAGCCTGTCGTTCACAAGCAGGAGAGAAGTGAACAATGTGGAAGAAAACGAAGCCCCTGGGAAAGAGGACAAAGTCGAAACTCACAGAGGACGCTACGAGATTGAGGAAACCGAAACCATCACCAGATCGTACCAGAGGAATAATCTGAGACGAGATGAGGAAGATGAGAAGAAAGAAGAGGCAGACGAGGAGGAGGCACAAGAGGAGAAGCCAAAGCAAAGAACCGTAGAGGAGAATCAGGTAGAAGCAACGATAGAAAAGAAAACGCTAGACAAAGAAGAGGAAGCTGTGGTGTTAGACATAAAACTCCCTGAGGTAAACGCAGATGAGCAAAAAGTAGCCAATGACACAAGTGCCGTTGCAGAAGAACAAATAGAGAGTGAGGAGGCTATAAGCATAACGGTAGCGCTAGATGGGAAGAAAGATGAGGAGGATGAGGCTGAAAAGAAAAGGACAGAAGAGAAGGAGAGGCTGGAGAGGGAGGAGGTAGAGAGAGCTA